AAATTTATTAGAATGACCTTCATTTAATAATTCAAATATTTATTATTTCCAATAATAGTTTCAAATAGTTTAGGACCACACTTGTTATAACCAAGTAATTGCCATGCTTGATTTTTCTATGTTTTGTGGTCAGTATCAGATCATCTGTAACTAAGTGGTAAAATGGCAGTGTTTGTGTTCATTAAGGTTCATTTGAGTAAGAAATTAAAATGATTTTTGAGGTTTAAAAAAGTACAGGACGTAAATTTATGAAGAAATCATTTTTTTGCCTTAACACATTTGAAAGGGAAAGTGTGTATGTATATAAAAGTCATAGAACCATATTTACTGAACTTGAAATTGTTTTGCAAATTTCCATGGCACAACTGATTTATATGGCTTGAACATTTCTCATTTTTACTCTTTCACAAACTTTGTTAGTTTCTAAGTAAAGATGTGCTTGGAGACTCACTGTGTTAATAGGCAAAGTTGGCCTTTTCTGTGCGTCCCTTAAAGTAGTCCATCCTGAAACAGTGACCTTTTAGTTTAATAACAGTTTTATTTGAGAAAAATGTTCAAATCCTGAGAACGGGGAAGTGCTTTCAAAAAGGCCATTTTTAAATAGTCCCCAAATCGTGTATCTTTTTCCTTTATGCACTTTAAATCAGACTTATTAGAAGAAATATATTGTTGCTTTCTGTATTTTATTGATTTAAAAACAAGTAACATGAAGCTTAGATATGCTCAAAACTTATTATTACTGCGTGGTTTATTTTTCTGCCTGTGCTTTGACTTGCTATTTTAAACTCTTTATGCTAGGTCATATTTTATCTTTTGTTATTTTAAAATCTTGATTGTAGCTAAGGTAATTACTTTTTCAGGTATGACCTTGGGCTGAGACTAGAAGTTGTGATTCCCCCCCCCCCCCCACCCTGCCCTCTGTTTCTGGAAATAGGACATTAGAAAGACAGCTAGTATGTTACTCCTTTTACTGACCAAAAGTGATAACATCCAATTTATTTACCCACAAGGGCATTGTTCCAGGTGCTTTCTTGCCCCTTTTGTTGCTGGTGTTTTCCATTTTTCTCCTTTCCTTTGTGAGCTACCTGGATAATGTTCTTTCTCTGCACTGGATCTCTCCTAAAGCCACAGAAAGTGGCAGGGCTGAGAAATGTAGGCAGAAGGGTATGGGGAAGAAGCAGCAAACTCCTAAGTTGGATTTCTTTTTCCCCATACCACTCCTTCTGCACAGTTTCATCTGCAACACTTCCTTTTTATCCACTAAGCTGTTCATCACTTGATAACTGCATCCTTACCATTCTGTTCCTGCTTGATCACATCTGAGTAATAAACTCATTGTTCATTTGAAATTTCCTCTATATAACAGACATAAAACACAGTATGAAAATGCAACATTATGTTAAATAAGATAAATCAGATGCCAAAAGAGAAATACTGCATGATTTTACTAAACATGGTGTCTAAAATGTTGAAGTCATAGAGGCAGAGAGTTGAACAGTGGTTGCTGGAGGCTTTGGATGGAGAGAGGAATGGGAGTACATTGGCTACAGGATATAGACTTTCAGTTATAAGATGAGGAAGTTATGGAAGTACAGAATTTACATTAGACTTTATGATTTTTTTGTTGAAACATGATAAGAAAGGAGATTTTAGGTGTTTTCGCTCCACACATACAAATGATAACTAGATGTGATGATATGTGAATTTGATTGTGGTAATCATTATGTAACTTGCATACCTTGAATATATATGATTTTTCTGGCAGTTATATTTTGATAAAGTTGTAGGAAAATGCCAAAAGTCACAAAAAGAACTGAGACTTTTACCAGCTAACTTAGAGAATTGATTTTATTGCTTCATACTTAGACAAGGTATACTGAATACTAATAGAAGCCTAGTTTTAGTTGATTGAGCTAAATTGGATTTTGATAAAGAATGCTGAATTTTGTCCAAGAAAAAATTTTGCTGTTGTAATTTGAATTGATTGAGAAGTACCATGATTTTTCTTATATAAATTGATAGTGTTGATCCTGTTAAGTTTCAGAGTATTGTTTAATTAGGTAATACTAATTAGGTTAAATATTTGTTTTAAATTTTGCTTTTAATGGAACTACTGTCCGTGTACACCATGAACAAAATGTGTAACAGTTTTACTTGTTTTGTGTAGATTAAATTGTGAAAATCATTGCCTTTTGGAATGCATAGCACTTGTGTCCTATCGTTGGATGAGGAAACCCAAAAGTCAGAGAAATCCATTTATTTACCCAAAGTCTGACTAGTAGAAAAGCAAACTATCAAGACTTTTTTTTGAGATGTTATCTATCACCTGCAATTTCTGTTGTCATTTGTATTGTTTTAAAATGAGTTCTTTGCTGTTATTTGTATTGTTGTTAATAATGAACCCTTTAAGATTTGCTTGAATGCAAATAGAATACTCTGCTGTACTGATTTTCTAGATTTTGTGTGACCTTTGCAAAGCAGACTTGTATCTGTCTCGTGTTGCAGACTAGGAAGTGAGAGGGAAGCAAAATAGAAGCATAGAATAGTGTTGGAAGGAATGTTAGAGAACAGCCTTTTGGGAAAATTGGTATGAGAGAGGTCAGTAATGTTCCCGGAGTCCCCAGATTATAATAGACATTCTAGGGTAAGTATCTCAACTAGAGTTTCCTCTTTTTCTTGATTTCCCTGTTGTTTGATTTTTATTTTTTTACTCCTCTGCCTCTTTTCCTTTTCTTTCTTGGATTTGTTGGCCCTTTACCTCCTTTTTTGGAAATATACTTAAGATGCTATAAAATCAACTCATTTAAAGTTTGCAATTCAGTGATTTTTAGCATATTTGTACAGTTGTATAACCATCACACAATCTAATTGTAGAACATTTTCACCACTGCCAAAAGAAATTATATACGCATTAGCTCATCATCATCATCATCATTATCCCCCAACTTAACCTTTGGCCTACCCTAGGTAATCATTTCTGTGATTTTGTACAGTTTTGCTAGTTTGCTATTTTAGATATTTCAGTGAATGGATACATATAATGTGTAGTTTTTTGTGTCTGACTTTTTTCACTTGGTATAATAGAGGTTCATCCATGTTATAGGTATACATCATGCTTCATTCTTTTTTTATAACTGAATGCTGTTAAACTGTGTTAGCACATTTTGTTTGTTCACTTGCTGATGAGCATTTAGATTGTCTCCATTGTTGGGATATTGTGAATAATTCTTTTTTTTTGTTTCTTTTTGTTCTTTTGAGACAGGGTTTCACTATGCAGTTCAGGCTAGCCTTGTGCCCACTTTTTTTGCCTATGCTGGTCTTGAGCTTGCAAAGATCCTCTTTCCTCAGCCTCCTGAGTGCTGGGATTATAGGCAGAATAATTCTGTTATAAATACTTAAGAACATTTTTTGGAGGAATGTGTAGACCTATTTTCGGCTTCATATATGTAGTAGTACATGAGAGTGGAATTGCTGGGACATACTGTGACCCTGTGTAGTATTTTGAGGAACTGCCTGACTGTTTCCACAGTGGCTATATGGTTTTATATTCTTAGCAGCAGTGCATGTGGGTTCCAGTTTCTCTGTGTCTTCACCAACACTTACAGTCTTGTCATGTCGCTTGAAGTGGCATGTCATTTTGTGGTTTTGATTTGCCTTTTACTAATGACTAATGAGGTTGAGCAACTTTTTCTTGTGCTTATTGGTCATTTGTATGTATGTGCTTTTCAGAAATACCTAATTTGTCCTTACCCCAAGTATATGATTAAGTATTTTCTTTCATTTTATAATCATAGTTTCACCATTGATGGATTCCAACATTATGTTGTTGCTTTCTGACAGTACACTTCTGTGAGAAAATATCTTTACAACTTCTCTACTACATACATTCTTTATTATTCCTTAGTGTCAGCTAAGAATTTGAAGGGGTTTTGTGTGCTTTATATACTGTTTTTTTTGCATATGCCTAAGGCGAGGTAAATAATGTCTAAATTGTCAATAATTTATCTAAAGATCAGAGACATTACTCTCTAGTTTTCTACTTAATAGGCTCAATCTTTTGCAATACTGTTGGAGTTCTTTGTGTATTCCCAGATCATTCCAAATAGTTCTAGTCTTGTCTTTTCTTTCCTTTTTGTTTTTTGGTACCAGGGATCGAACTCATGACCTTGCAATTGCCAGGCAGGCACTTACGCCATTGCGCTAAATCCCCAGCAGTGCTTTCTTGCTCATAATTTTAGATAGTAGGTTTTTAGCGAAGAAGGGATACTTTTTGCTTATGTCTTAGGGAAGGCTCTTATGCAAGTATGTAAAACTTGTCCATTTTATTTGCCATCATAACTGAAAGAGGCTTTTCAAAACATGTCATACATAGTCTTCTAAATGAGAAGACCAGATGTTTCAAATTAAGTTACCAGGTATTTAGGAAGCTCCAGCTGTGTTCTCAGGACTACACTTTTTTTTTCTCCAGTTATTTGCACTTGAATTTCAATGGCGTGTATTTTAGAAAATATGATTTCCAAATTTTCATAAATCATAATTGCATTTTGCAAAATTAATATAAATACAAATAATCTTATCTCTGTAATAAATGGTTTTTTGTTAAATATTGAATTGACATGATTTTGGTTCTTTTATCTTCTCTAAATTTCCTTTCAGGCTGACCTATCCTTACATGTAATTATCAGACTTTAATAGTAGGGCATCATTTTAAAGAATTTGTGCTATAATGCTTTACTCTCCTCAAGGCAGTAAGCATCTCCTTGAATTTGTTATAAATGTTGCTAGTTTTGGAAATTTCTGTGTCACCAGGGAATTCTTGGTTAAATTATTCCAAGCGTACTACCTAGTCTTTTCCATAGTGCCTAGAAATTTCCAAGGAGTCACTGACCACTTGGCAAAACTCTCACCATTCATTTCTATCCTAGCTTTATTTTCTTGAGCATTTTCCTGCTTTTGTTTTTAGGAAGGCACTTACTTTACTTCCTTTTGCTGAATTCTAGTTTCTGATGAAGAATTGAAAAGAAGAGTGGCTGAAGAACTGGCATTGGAGCAAGCCAAGAAGGAATCTGAGAATCAGAAACGGTGAGTTTCATAGTATCTTGCAGAGATTTTGGTGCAGTTATTAAATCTATCAAACACTTTTAGAGAAGAACGATTGTAGTAACTTATTTGTGTATGACTGAACTTCAGAATGTGCTCTGTATACAAACTTGGCCAGTTTCGGTTTTGGATTGTGCTGACTAGAGTCCATGTTATCCTTTTTGCAGACTTGACTAAACTATCATTATATCTCTTTAATAGTTCTAAGTTAAGTAGGTTCTGAGCTTTGCTCTCTCAAAGGACTATCTTGAGAATTTCTCTGTAATTTCTGTATCAACAATGTATTTTAAGATTAAAATTAAATTGCTTGCTTTTATATAATTTTATAGCTAATGATGGATATCATATACATAGTACCTGAATAAATAGCACTAATTGGTATTGTACTCACTTAAAAATTAGGATGTTACCAAAATTTGCAAAGTTGAAAATCAAAATCCTCTATAATTTCATACTACAGTCACTACTCTTAACATTTATTACTCTAGAGTTTTTTCTGTGTACATGCTTCCATTTTATTATTGATACTATTATGAATAGTAGTTAAAAGTGGTCATTTAAGTGTTTTGTAATGGTAGAAAACTAGAAGCAATTCAAACGACCGTCCTAGGGAATTGGATAGGTGAATCATGGCATGCGCCTACATTGGAATACTAGATAGTCGAGTAGATCCTGTATCTGACCCAAAAAGATGTTGAAGAGTTATGAACTGGAAAAGAAGCAGTGTACAGAATGGCAGAGATAAATTTTTTTTTTTTTGGTAAAAAATGCTACTTTTTAAAGACGTTGAAGTATATACTTATGCATAAAAATGTGTGAATACATTTTAATCCAAGATAGTCAAGTGCTTCCCATCTGTGCTATTTCTGACATTTGCATATAGCACAGAACACATTACATGGTCATGTGGAATGTCTTTCTACAGGGAACACTAGACACATGCCTATCTCTGAATAGATTCTTAGTATTTTGTTTTGTTTTGTTTTAGACTACCTATTTATTGTTTGATAGAGCTAACACAGAGAATCTTTGAATTGAATTGTAGTCCTTACTGGTCATAGGTCCTTCAACATATAATTTATCCTCTCTGGGCCTGAAGTATTTCATCCCCAAAATAATAGGTTTGCAAAATGTTCTCAGATACATTTTTCTTTTGACAAATTGCTAAGCTAACTCACAATTTGCACAAAACATATGGATTAGAATGTAAGTTATAGATTAGGGCTTCCATTTTCTCAGAAAGTAGAGAAAGCTTATGGGTTAGGTTTTAAAAAATCGAGATGTGAATAGTATTGCCAAAGAGTCTATGTGTATTTTAGTAGTTTCCCACATAGCATTTTATAATTATTTGATTGGATTAGGTTGATTTGAGTATATAATTAGATAATGAAGTTTAAATATTAAAAACATTCTTGTCACTTTCACTAAAAAGCAAAGAAAATAGGCATGTTACGGTAGGACATTTTTTCTTTGAAGTTTTATTATTTTTAATTCAGTTTTATTTTAATAAGAATTTTTTTGTTATTCTCAAATCTGTTCAGGTTTTTATATTTCACAGAGGTTTTGCTTTGTTTCTTTTCTCTTCATATAGTGCAGAGTTTTTATTAAAATAGCTATCATTGGTGTGCATGTGTGTGTTCTTCATTATTCAACTCCTGTTTGCTCTGCCTTGGTCAGTGAAAGAGAAAGGGAGAGTGAGATGAATGAAAGGTGCCAGTGAGAGCCAATTTCATATCTCATGTGGAATGGGCTTGGCAGCCTAGCTCTAACCTGGACAAATGAATATTGATAAACAATTTATTTTCTGTCACCTTTAAGGAGAGTAGAGGGTGGTATAGTCTTTACATTACTAATTTGTTCTTTTTTGAAAAGTGTTTTGTTTGAAGTCTCCTTCATGAAAACTTCCAGCTGTCAACTCTTGGCAAAAAGTCTGTGTTTATTTATGTGATAGTTCGTAGCAGGATGAATAGCTATTTTTCTCTTTTCTTTTTTTCCACCAGAGAAGAAACTTTAGAAAAAAGCATTAAGAAAGTTTTATGTACAGTCTCTTAAAAGCAACTTTTTGGAGTGACAGAGCATTTGTACATTATTATGTCTGTTGCCTATATTTGAATAAAGACTTGCAAGCAGTTTTAGAAAATGGCTCCTTGTGCCATTGTACTGTCACTTGTACATGCCCTGCTTACCAAGCTTCCCTGTTCTCACCTCAAATGCACACGGAACTGTCGACTAGTTCCCTTGCACATAAGATCTGAACATGGGCATGCATAAATTGAAATTTTGAATAAACTTGTTTGAGAAAGACTTTGGAATGCATTTTGCCTGTGATATTTTCCTTTATAGAACAATTATTAGCAGTAAAGATTTTTAAAAAGCCCTTTTCATTATTTTACAAATTGATGCATAAGTAATACTAATTGCAGATATTCTTATGGGGTAGCATGTGATACTTCAATAGATGTATACACTATGTAATGTTCCAATCAGGCAAACGTATCTGTTTCCTCAAATATAATTTTTTTGTTGTGAAAATATTTAAAATCCTTTTTGTAATTCTTTTGATGCAATCTCCTCTTTTAAAAAAAAAATTATGGGACATTTTAAGTTTACTTAAAACTAGAGAAAAGTAAAATGAATCCCCGTAACTCATCATACAGTTTTAACAGCTTTGTCTCACCTATTCCCCTTTTCATTTTACCAGGATGAACAGGAAAGTTTTTAATGGATGGATGAACTGCATGGGAGGGAGAGATACTGGAATGCTTACTACATGGGTAGCTCAACTAAGCAGTTGTTTCTGTTAGATTTCTTTGGTTGAAAGATTGAAATTTAACTGTTTCCTTTAGGAAGCAGGGAAATTTTTAGAACTATATTAGATAGTTCAAAAGAGTCAAAAGGAAAAGTAGAGAATTATTGTCTGGGGAATAACTGGGTACTACTAGAGCTGTACACAGTGGGAATTGTTTCCTCAGAAAGAAATCAGAATGAGGGCTGCATAACAAAAGGAAATGGATAGTAGGTGCTGCATTCCACTGAATTGAAGATGGTATTGATTTTTAATAGATACCATAAAGAAAAACATTGCTGCAAATTCCATTAGTGTATCTTTTAAGGTTTTTTTTACTGAAATAGCTCATCAAGACTGATTTTGGATTTTTAAAAATATTTCACTGATACAAATATATATATGAAAGAGTAAGCAAATTGAATTGGTTAAGACAGTGGTTTTCAACTAGGGGAGATTTTAGTCTCCAGGGCACATTTGACTATGTTTTGAGACATTTTTGGCGTTATACTTGTTAAGTATTATTGGCATATCGTGAACAGAGGCCCAGGAAGCTAATAAGTATCCTATAATTCATAGGGGTGTCTCTCTGGCCCCCTCGCACAAAACAAGAAAGAATTACTTGGTTTAAAATGTCAGTGGTGCCTGTAATGACAAACCTTGATTTAAAATATTCTTCAGACCTAGGCACATTGGGTTTCATTATGTGGGATAATGAAACTTTTGGTTTCAGGGTTTTGATGTCTTTGTTTTTCTATACAATATCAAATTCTGTACCATCAAAATCTTGATGACATAGCATTCCATAAAAGCTTCCTTCACGGTTGTTCTTGGGAGGTTTTCAAGCTGCTGACACCTTTTCTACAAATTTTAATGCTTACATGCAAGTTATGACAACTGCACAGGATTGTAAGTTGCTTTTAGGCACGTGAGAGAGTGTCAAAATACGTGCCCTAGAAGAATGAAGTACAGTCTGTGTACACTCATGACTGTGAACTCTTTATCAGATTGGAATGACTTGCTGAGTGTCTTGCTTTACCTTCCACTGGTGCAGAAACTCCTCTTCAGCTTCTCTGACTAGTAGTCTCACACACATTTCAAGCTCCTTTGTAAATTGCTTAAACTGAAGATATTTCATTAGACCATTTAAAATTTATTCCAACTTCTTTTTAAAGTCCATTTCTTTAAGTTTAATGCAATATGGCATAATCAGTCTTCCCCAAAGAGGTCTGTTACTATGCCCATAGTGATAACAGAGCCAGTTATAAGCATTATGCTTATATATACTGTATTCTCATTTAAAAAATAACATCTACACATGGACTTCTTCCCACTTAATGTATATTGTGGGTTTACTTGCCTTTGATAGACATTTCTACTGATATGTATAATTAACAAAACCATGCTCCTCTGATTTTCCAGTATATTAGGAATCACAGATTTGATTATTAAACACCTGATAGAATATGAGCTGTGATAAAAATATACAATGCCTATGTAAGTTAAAAATGTTTATTATAACAGAAGACATTGTCACTAATGCCTTTCACACTACTCTCCCATGTTTTGAACACACTTATCCTATCATTCTTGCCACTTTCTAAAGCAGTTCTAGAAGTCTTCTATTAATAGTATCTATAAGGTGTGATTAAATGAGCATAGTGAATGCTGTTTCAGAGTGCCCGCCACTGAAAAAGAGTTACAGTGTGTCCCCACCCACTGTCTTGACTGGACCTACCACCGGGTGACTTCTGGTTCTTCCTCAGAGTCAAAATGACCCTGAAAGGAAAACAGTGAATTGATGAAAGACGCTGAGTCACGCACAGCAACACTAGAGATGCTCACAAAAGGGACTTACAGAACTGCCACAGAAGGTGGCAAGTAAAAATGATTAAAACACAGTATATATATGTTTCAGTTCCCCAAGATAAATGTGATTTTTATATGTCATCAACCTGTACTAATAAAAGGTGACAAGAATGATAGGATAAGTGTGTTTTATCATGATTTTTTTTTTTTTTTGTCCTTTTTGTTTTTTATCGGTACCGGGGATCGAACTCACGACTGCCTGCTTGCAAGGCAGGTGCTTATGCCGCTGAGCTAAATCCCCAGCCCCCGATAAGTGTGTTTTAAATGAGAAAGGAGTATTCTTGAGGGAGACTCTGGCAATGTGTGTTTTACTATAATAAATTGTCTT